CTCCTGTATTCTCCTAGCTTTCTCCTGTGTTCTCCTGCTTTTTCCTGCTTTCTCCTGTATTCTCCTGCTTTCTCCTGTATTCTCCTGTATTCTCCTGCTTTCTCCTGTGTCTCCTGCTTTTCCTGCTTTCTCCTGTATCTCCTGTCTTCTCCTGTATTCTTTGCTTTCCCTGTGTTCTCCTGCTTTCTCCTGTGTTCTCCTGCTTTCTCCTGCTTTCTCCTGTGTTCTCCTGCTTTTTCCTGCTTTCTCCCGTATTCTCCTGCTTTTTCCTGGTTTCTCCTGTATTCTCCTGCTTTTTCCTGCTTTCTCCTGTATTCTCCTGCTTTCTCCTATATTCTCCCGCTTTCTCCTTTGTTCTCCTGCTTTCTCCTGTGTTCTCCTGGTTTCTCCTGTATTCTCCTGGTTTCTCCCGTATTCTCCTGCTTTCTCCTGTATTCTACTGCTTTCTCCTGTATTCTCCTGCTTTCTCCTGCTTTCTCCTGTGTTCTCCTACTTTCTCCTGTGTTCTCCTGCTTTCTCCTGTATTCTCCTGTATTCTCCTGGTTTCTCCTGCTTTTTCCTGCTTTCTCCTGTATTCTCCTGGTTTCTCCTGGTTTCTCCTTTGTTCTCCTGGTTTCTCCTGTATTCTCCTGCTTTCTCCTGTGTTCTCCTGCTTTTTCCTGCTTTCTCCTGTATTTTCCTGCTTTCTCCTGTATTCCCCTGCTTTCTCCTGTATTCTCCTGCTTTTTCCTGCTTTCTCCTGTATTCTCTTGCTTTCTCCTGCATTCTCTTGCTTTCTTCTATATTCTTCCGCTTACTCCTATGTTTTCTAGCTTTTTCTTGCTTTCTCCTTCTTTCTCTTGTATTCTCCCGATTTTTCCTGCTTTTTCCTAGTTTCTCCTGCATTATTATATATCTGCATGATATTTGCATGCATTGCTGTTTAAGGAGTCTAATTTACATACTCGGGACAAGATAAATGGTCCCTTTACCCTATTTTTGAACCTAGGTAGGCCAGTGTGCTATCTGAATTTTAAGAATGCCCCCCCCCCCCCCAAAAAAAAATCATGCCCACTTGGCTTGCACCACTGCATCCAGCAGACATTTTGCAGATGCTTTTTAATTTTAGGTAGTAATGGCTATTACTAGTATTGTTAGAAATATTGTCAAAGGCTTATGTATGTAACATTACTTAATTTGAGGAAAGTAGTAACTTATAGGTGGGGCAACCTAAAATTCTGATGGGCAACCTGATTTTTGCCAGTGGGCAACCTGGTTCAAAAAAGTATTTTGTACACTGCAACAGGTCAAAAATGCATTTCTTTAAATCAAGCTATCTTCTGTCATCGAAATATAGCAGGTTTTACACTACTATAGAATGATATGCGCCTATAATATTTAACTGTTATATTTAAAAACCAAAAGTCGCAGCCATATGGCAGTGGCAGTCTTTGGAACCTCCTGCAACGAAGGAGAAACTGTAAAACAGTAAATTGTTCTACACTTTAGAGGCATTGCTTTAGTTAATATGCATACAGATACTGTCTAAAACTTAACACCACTGCATGATAACAGATTTCGCCGGTAATAAA